CAACTTACTGCTTACATATGCACATTTTCATGCATTTACCTGGTCAATAGTTCAACCGCAGCAGACCCATATCCCATCTACAAAGAATGCAATAAGAAATTCGTTAATTTCTCAGAGAACCTAAGAGATAAAAAAAATGCAGACGAAGAAAATTCACCCTCATGGCGTTGGGGTGGACTGCTATGCGTACTATACGAGCACCCGAATAAGTTGGAAAAACAAGGTCCCGGAACTGTTCACAGAACTTCCATGGTATTTGATCTCCATGTGGTGAATGACCATCTCTTAAACTTCTGACGGCTGATTTGTGAGATATCTGTCCTTCGAGACAGACCTGCAAAAGTACATCCAGAATCAATCACAATGTTGCTCAAGACAACTTACATCCAGAATCAATCACAAAAGAATGTCAAGATAAAAGATTCATAATTCTACAAAGAAAAAAAATCCAGCAAACAAACAATAAGCAGACTGATAGCTTCTGTGTTTATTCTTGCTTAGTTCAACTAACATTTTCTGTCCAAACAAAACAGAAAGTAAAAGTCTATACCTGGACAACACATAGTATATCAGGAAGCTGGTTTTTGGATTCATCAACAGGACCTGTACCATTATAGAAGTTTAAGGCAATACTATAGATCTGGTGATTATATCTAGCTACCAAAAGGAGGAACAGTTATATACCGAGAAGCACAAACAAATGATGAGCAGGAGCATCTGCCAGCAACTGAAGATCATTAGGAGAATTCTTGTAGTGAGAAGAGACACAAAGTGCCATCATTCGCTGTAGAATACCATTTAACATCAAGTTATTATTATCAAAACAAAGTTAGCCAAAATTTAGATTGTAAAATTAACTGAAGTTACCTGTAAAAACAATTCACTGTCTTTGTGATAAGAAAATAGCGTGTCTCGGTTGACATAGTAGAGATCACACTGGCTTGGCAGAGGATGGCTACAAATTACAGAAGAAACAATCAACCCGAAATATCAGTTGGCAAGAAAGGGAAGCAAACATCATATTATTTTTCCATGAAATCTCCATACCAGGCAGGATTTGGGAGATAATTAGCAACATCAAGGCATAGTAAACCGTTGAGCCAGGATTCAATTGGATCTCCAGAAGCGTATCTAATAGACTCATTAAGTTCTATCTTCTTAAAAAGGCAACCTGAATCCAAAGAAACTTCATACAGTCAGGGTATTCCTCAAGGTAACGATTCACATCAACTAGAGAGCACAGAAGAAAAAAGATTTCTAATACTAAATACTAAGACATTAAAGTAGGCCCTTCAAGAAAGAAACATTAGCTCTAAAAATGTTGAACACCTATCCGATACAGTAATCTAACATCACCAATAAGGGTCTACTGTGCATAAACTTTTGATCAACTTGTGGGGCCATTAAGGCCGACCGTAACAACAAAACCTACGTTCTTGGAAAAACACAGATGGTGTACTTAAGACACAAAAGAAAATAATTATGAAAATGCTAGCAGCAGTTTTTCCTTCTTAAACCAGTACGCAAAGGCAATGGAGTGATGCTTTAAGAAAGAGCACTTAAGGATAATGTTGGGATCTCTACAAAATTTTTCTGATTGTCACATGACAAAAGTGAAAGCAAGATGTAGCAGTTAAATACCAGAAAGAGAGCCTTCAACACCAGTAGCAGGGGATCGGCTTTGCTCTTCTAACTGTTGGAGGAGTTTCAGGGACAAAGATCTACCAGTACCTTCATAGCTTTGATAAAGAAAGATAAAAGAAACGGAAATCAGAAGCATGATAGACCCAAATTATAACCATGACATACATAAAACTTTTGATATTATGGGAGTGTAAGCATAATATCCTGTTTCACATACCCACTGACAGTAGATGATAAGAAAACTAGGTAAGGGCCAAGTAGAGACTTCACAACTGGCAAAGGAATAGCTGCTGCTTCATCAATAACCAACAGCTCCACTTGTGAGAGCTTCTCGTGTTCATGCGGTTGTATATACTGCATGAAAGAACAAGAAATTGAAGCAATTTATTGAGTGATCAGATGTAAACCACAGCTTATTAGAAAACAAGGGATGAACAAACCTGGATAGTTTGTCTGTGCTGCTTGAAGATATTTATCCGTACGATTGCTTTCTTGAAGTCAGGATTAACACTTCTGACAACATCATATTCAAGATGTTCCTTCAAAAACAAATAGTTGAAGATTGAATTAACATTAAAAACAAAAGGTAACTTTTTCTTCTCGTCTCGAGATAGTGCAGATCTAATTTAAATTTATGACCATCTCAACAAAGAGGCAAGAAAATGGAAGAAAATCAACATATTAAACCTCTTTAAGAAAGCCTTAAATATGTGATGAAGAAGAAGTTCATCTTACCTTATATTCAAGAGCATCAAAACCTTTGCAAACAAACTCGAACAATGTTTTCAAGTTATCAGGGCTTGGTGCTGTTACGTAAATATTAGAGTACCTAACAGCCAAAAAGATCAAGTACCAATAAGTTAACAAACATTATAGGAACATTCATGAATAAAATAGTACATTAACGCAAAGCCTACCCAGCAGCGACAGCCCCGGCAACAGCTAGACCAAGAGCAGCAGATTTTCCACGCCCTCGACTAGCAATCAGAGCAACTATGCTCCGGAGGGTCTTATCCAATATCACATCAAAAAATGTGACAACAGCTTTACCCTAAAAAAGACAAAGCAGATATTCAATCATGATCCAATGTTTAACACTTCTTCATCCAATGTACACAGGTGACAAAACTACATACCTGATCCAATGTACAACATTGGTTAATCAAAGGACCAACAGGAAACTCATCGTTTAGTGCATCTTTCAAACTCTTTAGGTCTTGTTCTGCCTCAGATAGTCCCTCCGGGTCCTTTTATTAAAAACGCATGAAAGTAAAAGTTAGAGATGCTAACTGGCATGATGGAAGATAGTTTCGCTCAACAAACCTTAAACCTGCTATAAAAATTACCTCCTTTGTTGGAACTTGAGTGATAGATCTGATATGAGACGAAAGCGGCAATATATTCAACTCATCATCCATGACAACGCATGATTTGCAAGACGCTAGTGATAACAGAAAACGTTCATTGAAACGTCCGGAAGTTTCAGAGTGTGACTCAGTTCGAAATCTATCATGCACATCCTGATATGAACAGAACCAATAATGTTACTCCAAATAAGTAGTTAAGCAAACAACAAAAGAAGGAAAATCACGGTTCGTACCATAACCATGGTGCATAGGCTAGTAAGTGAAGCAAGAGATTGCAATAATAATACAACTAGCCCACCCCCTTCCACGGTCTCTATTGTCCGTGCAAGTAGATTTGGGGTTAGAGCTTCAAAATCCTGAATATACCAAAAATAAATTTAGATAAATGCAAAAGTATCAGCAACTTGCGAGCAACGATATTCGTTATATGATTAACTAGACCAACCTGTAGGATGCACATGCCAAAGGTATTCCCGAGAATTTTTTCAGAATCTTTGTACATGCAATGTGTTACTTCCCCAACATCAAGGAAAAGAGAGAAAGCGTCAAGTTTCTCAGGATCTAATTGTCCTCTCTCCTTCATCTTCTTCAACTGCTTCGAACGTTTTTTATTGTGACTGTACACAAAACCAATGTCGCTTTTTAATATTCAGGAGCCAGGACAAAAAGGAATAGTTATCGACTATGCTCAACTCGGTTCCATTATTCTTTGATCAAAAAGAAATTCCATAATTATGCCTAACATAGTTCACAAAGTAAGAATCCACCATTCTCGATATGGAAAGACCAAAAGAAAACCACACATAATAAGCACGTAGTAATAACAACATTTCAGGTACGAACCTGCTAATGTCGAGTCTGTTCTTGTAGCACCATAGCACACTTGTGTTAGACTTGGTCACCGATTTTGACAAAATGTGATGAAGATTAACAATCTGTTACATAACAGAAAAAAAGGAAAAGTATTTGAATTCATCTCCGAAAACCCAAAAGAAAAAGCTTCCCAAGTAGAAATTTTTACCTGGTCACGAGACTTGTCACCGACGATGACAAACATGGAACGGTGTCTGAGTTTAACACCGTTTTCAATCAAAGTCCTAATACGTTCGTCCACCTTCTTCCTCATTCTCACCACCAAATTTTGTTTACTAACCTTAAGCCCAAATACCAAAACTCAATCTTATGCAGACTCAAAGGTACAGTTTCAGAAAATCAAGGAAGCAAAGACTCAGAATTTAGCAGAAACGGAGAAAAATCAAGCAAAAGTAACACACACGGCTTCGATTCCTTTGCTTAATCGCACTGATTTCGATTCCAAACTATAAAAATTAGTCAATAGTAATGCCTGTAAGAAAGAACGAACCTGAAGCGC